AAATAAAATAGATTAGACAAGTGTAAGCACCAATCTATTATTTGTTATTTTAAACTACCGGGGATATGACCGGCAAGACAAAATCAAAGGTCCAATATTTTTTATTGCCAAAAAAGGCAAGATGGCCAGTAAGGACAATTGTTACAAATTTTGTCTCTCAGAACCGTTCAAATCTTTCCACGTCACAGCTAAGGCGTGTGCAAAAATTTTGGAATATCAAATGAAGTATGTTGCCGTTGCATCTTTCCAGTAGTCAACTGGGTTGCGTGCTCAATTGCGTTGAGTTGACTCAACTCGGTTGACTGCTGGTCAATTGCAAGAAATTTCCTCTACTTCTCATTTTTAAATGTATTCTTTTTTTTATTTATATTATCAAAAAAATGTATTCTTTTTATCGTGACTCAAGCATCAAAATGTTGTTTATTGGTCAAACGTGGATCTATTTCTTGGTCTTGTCCTTTCAAAGTTTATGGCAGTTCTTTTGGTACATGGTCATGGGAGGGTGAGATTAAAAAATTGAAAAAAATCATTTTATGCGTGTTTACACTTTTTTTTATTTCAAATTTTCAATACAGTCCCAGTTGGATTGCTATTTTATAAAGTTTTGATAAAAAAAATATAATGTAACAATTTAGTGTATATAAAATAAAAAATAATTAAAAAATATGCTTACGAAAAACATAAAAATTTTTCTTTAGAAAACTAATATTCCTAACAAGGTCTTTGCGGGCAAATAATATGCCTGCCAACATCTTGGCCGTGGGATTTAGTAGTCAGAGTTTATACTCGTCAGATGACTTGCCTAAGGCGGTTGTCATGAGTTTAAATCAAAGCTCAGCAGTCAAAAACGATTTATTTACTTCTTGATTAGTTCTCTGTATCTAGGGAATTTTTTTTGGGGGAAAATTATATATAACTTTCTGTACTTTCATCTATTATCACATTATCTCTCTAATGTTTCAAAATATTCACTTCATTCCCTTATGATTTCATGTAAAGTGAAAATTTGATGTAAAATAATCTATGTAACGTAGTTAGTTGAAATATCAATAGTTCCCTTACTTAAATGCTAAATCAATCGATAGTTTAGTTACTTTGTATAAAAGCATAGGAAGATTATGCGGATAAATGCAAAAATTACAGGGGGTAAAATAGATATTTATACAAACCATAAGGGGGTTATATTGATATTAAAATTTTATTACACGTGCTTTTAAAGCGTGTTTAATATGAACATGATTGTGCATTCCATCAATTTTCTACTTTATATAAAATTATAGAAGGCTTATGTAGCAAATTTAAAATCATAAGGTGGTTATCTGACATTATGTAAAACTACAAGGGGATAATAAGTAATTTACCCTTTTTCTTTGGTGGTCAGGGAAGGTTGCAAACTCTAGTAAGTTTTTTCAGTATATAAGTACCACCTTCACAAATATTTTCTTCTCATCCTTTCGTCAAATTTTTCTTGACCTCCCTGACAAGGTCATCTTCGTTCTTCCGTTTCTTCCTATCTCGTGTAAGAAATCTATCATTTCTATGCATGACTATAAGCCTAGCTTTCTGCTATTTTTTACGTCCCATTTTCATGTTCAATTATGCATTCGTTGTTTCTACATATGATGTGTTTGTTTTTGGCAAAAAAATTTCTCTTGTCGTTGCATTAGATAAATTATGCCAACCGGTATAAATTAGATAGATTTCAACTTATGAATCCCTTGATCTCTTTCTCACCTTATGCATAATTTCCTACATCATGACTACGAAAAGAAATGGAACGAATTCAAAATTCTCTATAATATAGCAGCATCTATTCTCTATAACTGGTTTTCAGCCATCACTCAGAACACATGTACCATGAGCATAGGCTATTTTATACGTAAATCATTCCCTCACATACGTAACCATTGGCTTGAAAAATTTCTCAAAAAATATTGGCCATTTTGTAATCTTCAGTTGAAGCTGCAGGTAGAAGCAAAAAACGAAAAGATGTATCAAGTCGTTCGAACCATCACGGGGATCCTCAGTAACTTGTTATTCTCAATTCTCTATTGATCATGCTCTTTTGCTCCCCTTTCTTTTTTTCTTATCTTCCAGCTTATTAGTCTGATAAATACTATCACATATGTACGTACTCCATCATGTTTCAAAACTCGTCCCAAAAATGCCTTTTAAAATACTGGTCACAATTTCGTTTGGGTAAATCTGTGAAATTACCTTAGATTCTGAGTGTGTGTGTTTATTATTTACTGGTGACAAGACAATTTCGTTTGGTAGAGGATGTTATTTTGAACATACATGAATTTGTTTGTATCTGTTTCAGAAAGTTGATTGCCTCTTTTCATACTATACGTATAAACCCTCAAAATATGTGTGTATATGGTGAGTTCTCTCCGATGAAAAAACAAGTAGAACATGTTTCAAGGCTTTTATTTCTGCAAATTCAACAATGCAACTAAAGACAAAATATATCCACAAGGCTTCGACCATATACATTATGGACTGCCACATACACTATGCAACACACACACACACTCTCTATGTTAGTTTTTCATATGTCTTTATTTTATTTTATTTTATTTGTTTGTCTACATTAATATTTCTATTTGTGGTGGTTTATTACAGCTTATATAGGATTATAGGTCATTTTTTGAACATTTTTCTTGCAGGAAACTTCACCTCCTTATGTCTGTTTGCCTCTCCAGTGTAATCTCTCTCTCTCTCTCTCTCTACACAATCACATACGTACACTCATACGTATAATAAGTGTCGTTCCATCATAGAGTAGACAAAGTTGTTTTGCTGTTGAAGACGTGTTTGTTGTGCTTTGTTAAGCATTGACAAACTTGAGAATTTTAATTTTTGCCTCAAGATTGAAGAAAGTAGCAAGCATACTTTCAAAATCAATTTATAAAAAAAATTATACATTTTCAAAATTGACATGGCAGACTTATAATAGTCAACTTATCTATGTGAAGGATTCCATCCAAATTGACATGGCAGTCTAATTATATTGGGTTTAGTCAACCATAGAACCAGTTCCCTTTCATAGTCTAGTGTTTTTGTTTACCTATTTAGCTTACAGCTCCTAACTGTTTCGGTTTCCACTGAGTGTTTAATCTAACTGTGTGTGTGTTGTTGATCATTGACTCGAGGAAAAAGCTTACACCTCCTAAAATTTTCCTAATTTTCCTTCACAAGTTGACAGATCTAGAAGAGCCAAAAAAGAAGGAGTAGTAGTCTTATTCCGGTCAATTTATGTGGAAGTATTCTATAACAAAAAATTATGGGCAAATTATACTTTACCCCCTGTGATATAGCTAATTTTCACATAATCCCCTATAGTTTTAAAAACTATATGTAACATTTTTATAGTTTGGATTAAAGTGTCAAAATGACAGAAAAGATCATCCGTAACGGAATCTATAAAAATGTCAAAATTACTCTTGTTTAAAAACTAAAATGGCTGAAGTGACCAAAATATATAAACATAATATGCATGACACTCTAATCCTGTATAATTTTATATTTTACCATTCTTTTATGATTTAGTTTACCATATAACCCCCTGACAGTTTTCAATATATATACATAACCCCCTATAGTTAATAAATAATTTTCAACTTTATATAGGGGTATTTTTGATATTTTAGTTGAGTCTGTTATGGATTGTAAATTTCATCACTTTGACACTTAAATTCAAACCATGAAGGGATTACGTTATAGTTTTTTGAAATCATAGGGGATTATGTAAATAAATACTAAATCACAGGAGGGTAAAGTGTAATTTGCCCAAAAATTATTATACTAGCAATATAGTAGTAAAGTAAGGAGTAGTAGAGGTCAATATATGTGGAAATATTATATAACCAAAAATTATCATACTAGTAATAGTATTACTGTATCTTGTATACTTTGACTTGATTAATGTATATCTAATAAATTAATTGGATTTAGTCAATAGTAGGGCCAGACTCCTGTTCTTGTTGGAGCGAACTAATCCAATTTTGTACTAGAGCAGAGTTATTACTTATTAGATCGTTACTTAAAAAAAAAAAAAAAAAAAAACCTAAAAGCAATCAATAGAGGTTGCTTTCTGGCTAACCACAACCATGTTGGCTTTGATTGTCAATCCCTCAAAAAAAAAAAAAAAAGGTATGACTTGACTCCAATTGGATGGTGAAAATAGTAAGGAAGGATTCCCATTGGACACAACACAACACCAACTTGGATACATAGGACACCCCTTAAAAGGGTTCAGCCATATAGACTACAAATCCTTGGAAGTGACATTCACGTAGCATGGAAAAAGATTAATTCATAGAATTTTCTATCAAACAATAATTAATTCCATTGATTGAGAATTGGGTCAAGAAAAAAATAACCCATTTTACACCTCAGAAGTAATTAAGGCTGCTTTACATCAAATATATATAAAAGTAAAAACACAAAATACAACTGAATTTTAATTCACTCGAATCAAAGGGCATGTAAAGTAGTCTAAGCATATTTTTATATGAAACCCAAAAAAAATGTAATATAATTTCCCTTTTTCCTGTTTACTTAATCGAGCTAGAAAAGTGGAATAAATTAATGTATAATTAGAATCAAAAGAAGTTTCTCTTAATTAATTAAGAGAATGGAATTAATATATTTAGCATTTATAATGAGTTCCACTTACAAAAATAAAAGCTTTTACAACTAAAAAATCATCTGAGTGAAATCACAATATTGAATGGGGATTGAATTTGTGTACTTTACAAAGTTAAAAGTTTTGCCCAATAGGCATACACTTTTACATGCAGTCGTACAGCAAGTATTTGACATGTATCATGCATAATTTTGCAAGCGAGATTTTTTAAGCAAAAAAAAAAAAATCATGATTGGTAATTTATTTATCAAATGCAATCTAGGTCTGTATTTTGCACTAAACAAAATCTCTTTTGGGGGATAAATAAACCTCTATTGATTGCAGGTTTACTTTTGCAAGGATCATCAAGATGAAATCGGTGGAGGAATTCCACCCTTACCCGTACCTTGCTGGAGCGTTGAACTGCTTCTTCTGGGTCTTCTATGGATCACCAATGGTTCACCCAAACAGCATACTTGTTGTCATCACCAACAGCATTGGCTTCGTGTTGGAATTGGCCTATCTGGCCATGTTCTTTCACTTCTCACACAGTAAGAAACAGAGGGTATGCACTTCTTTCCCCCAAATTCATCCTGCATCATTAGCCCTTCTTGCTTATCAGTGGCAGAGCAAGAAATATTTTAATTCATAAGTGGCAAATAATTTCAATTCTTCCAAAGAATAATTCAAAATAATGGATCACGTAGGGAGGGATGTGTGGGTTAAAAAAAAAGGCGTTGCAAACTGCAGTCATGGTTTATATTGGCTTGTTACATGAATTTGTGGGGCAGAAGAAATAATTTCTAAACAATTTCAAGCCTACCACAGGCACTTTTGTTTGGCCCTTGGAGGCACGTTTCCCCACTGGCATATATGTACATCCACCTGTGATGCTTGTAACAGGCCAACTGTAACCCCTCAACCCAGCAGAATATATAGTAATCAACTCCAGGCTCAAGCTATTCTGTTCTGTTTTGGTCTGGTTGCACTTTCTAGTATAAGAATATATATATTATAAACTCATCAAGAACTCTCCCTAATTAAAACTCCTGAGGCTTTGTTTGAATATAGGGGAAGTCAAGAGCAGGAAAGTGAAGTAAAAGAAAATACAAATCGTTTTCTATTTTACGTTCGATTATCAAGAAAATTTTGAGGGAAAATGGGAAGCTAGTGACAGTTACGGGCAATTATTAAAATTTTTATATCTATCCAACCATTTTTTTTCAAAATCTTAATTACAAATTCTGTAGGATACAAAATGCAAGAAAATGAAGGAAAGTGCAAGAAAAATTTTACAAATTTGCTGCTAACCAAACATATACTCGTAAGAGAAAGAGTAACTAATTTTCTTCACTTTCCCACAGTTTTCTTGTTTTTTATCCTTTCAACTTTTATCCATCCTGGACTTGAACAAATATGGATGACCGACCTGCTTTGGTATTAACTCATCCAAAAGAATAACGTTTCGATCCAGGATCTGTTTTTCGGTAATCTTAATTCGTGTTCTGTTATTTTGTGCATACCACCGTACTACAGCAAGTATATATATTGTTCTCAAGTAGCTGCTATGCTTATTTAATGCTATAAACTTACAACTCTCTAGCTAATACTGATAGATACTCTTTAATTGACTGGGCAATATTATAACCTTAATTTGATGTGCTGAATTTCCAGTTAATAGTAGTGTTTGGCTTGATTGGAGGGGCTGTTTTCGCAGCTGGCATAGCTCTCATAACTTTGCTAGTCTTTCACAATACTGACAGAAGATCTTTGTTCGTTGGAGCCATCTGTGTTGCCTTCAGCATCATTCTGTCCGCCTCTCCGTTGTCCATTATGGTAAGTAGTATTTATTGCTTTCGATCAGAACATCTTTTTCAGTATTCCTGGAATTTTCCTGATGAATGTTTGATTTGTAATGTTGTCCCTGCAGAAACAAGTCATCAAGACAAAAAGCGTCGAATTCATGCCGTTTTGGATTTGTCTGGCAGGCTTCTGTAACGGCACTGTTTGGGCTGTCTATGCTTTGCTCCCCTTAGATCCCTTCATCTTGGTAAATTCATGCTTCCGGAGTTTCATCTATTGCACCCTATATATGTATATAACAAAATTCTCATCCATTAAATTTAGCTGAAACCGGTGAACTCATTTTTTCTTGAAAGCTAGCTGTATGCACTAGTTGGCTAAACTTCACTGTAAATTGGTTATCAACTGCCGATGTCTCTGCTTTGTCGTCATGTAGACCGGCAACGGAGTTGGAGCTCTTTTGGGATTCGTCCAGCTCTGTCTCCACATCAAATATCGCAGAACTACTCCAAAGGGAGGCAGCAACGACATGCCTGGCAAGCCATCTGAGTTGCAGCTCCCAGTCTCACAGAACCAAGTTTCTGTTTGATTACACCTTCCATTCACAAACCTGCCCTAAAAGGCACCAAGAAACGAAATTTTTTATTTGGCGGTTTGGCTTCTATATATCTTTTTAGTGTTGTAATTCATTTCATAGTGTTGCGAGTTGAAAAAGAGTTTTGTAGCCATATATACGGCTGGGAGAACTTTAAGAGTTTAGCTTTTGCAATTTTGTGCTTTGGTCGTTAATTAATTTCTGCATTTTATAATTAAAAATATTGTATTTTGATCCTCACAACTATTTGTTTCCTTGTTGTTCAACAAAATTCATAAGAAAGAAAATACAGATTTTGAGACACGTGATGGAATCTAACAAAATCATGCTCGCAGCATCCCAGAAATTTTTGTTTTTGTTTTTGCAAGCATTACATAAAACAGTGTTTCCTTTATCAAAGCTACATGTTCGGGAATTCAAAATACTCCTACTTCCTATCATATATATTTCTTTCTTCTTCCTGTTTTTTCCTGTGCTTTTCTACCTGTACCTTATAGAGCAAATTAATGTAAACTGCCAGCAAGTATAAGAGTAAATGACCGAAAGAAACCAACAGCCTAGCTGCATAGAGCCCTCATGACTTGAGCGCTAATATTTGATCATGTTAGGAACTCAAGTGAGTTTCTGAGATTAATCTATGCAGCTGAACTTCCAAATTGTAAGAAGAAAGGAAGAAGAGAAGAGAAGAAGAGAGAGAGAGAGTGGACGACAGAGGACAGAGAATTGAGAAGAGGAAAATTGTATTGAGTTTGTTACAATTCTGTTATGACCATGGTTCGCCATCGCGGGTCGCGGTCGCGTCGCGGTCGCGTCGCGGTCTCAGTTGTTCCACATCCGTCGCGGCATGTCGGTTGAATATCGGGTGATATGAACATTATAACACATTAAAGTTTCCAAAAATTTTGAAAAAATTACTAAAATTAGAAAATACTGAAAAAGACACAATTTAAAAAAATATCGGAGTCGACTCCGAGTTGATTCGGATATATTGACCGATATCATGTATCACGGATTCGAATCGGTCAATATCGGCTGAGTCAGAGCGAGTCGTCGCAGATATGGTGATATCCGCGATTCGGGGATCGGTATCGTATCCGTCCCTTCCGTTCCCGATACGTATCGGTATCGGCCGATATGGCGAACCATGGTTATGACCCCATGTGGGCCCCCTTCATTATTTCTAACAACCAGGTAGTTAGTCTTAATCGACTTAACCACTGCAATTAAGCCTATTCCAAAACTACATCGTTTTGTCTACTTAATCCATGATTACAATTCAATCAGCTTGATTTCTTGATCTAATCATTCTCTATCCTAACAATTCCCTCCCTATAAGGATAGACTTGTCCCCAAGTCTAGAAGTCAGGAAACTGATTCTCAATAAAGGATTTGTCCTCCTGAGATGCCTCTTCATAGGTCAAATAATTCCATTTGATCAAGAACTGAATGACAGGTTTTCCATCTCGCAAAATAGTTCTCCTTTTCAAAATGATTTCTGGTTTCAATGGACACTGATCATGTTCATCCAACTTTGGTAGCTTGGGTGAACTGTTCTGCAATGGTCCCAATTTCTTCTTTAACAAAGATACATGAAACACGGTGGGCAATCTTGTGCCAGGTGTTAGTTTCAATTTGTAAGCTACTGCTCCAATCTTTTTGTCTATCTGGAAGGGACCATAATACTTGGCTGACAACTTGAGACATTTCCTAACAGCCACAGTTTGCTGTCTATAGGGTTGAAGCTTCAGAAATACCAGTCACCCATAACAAAGCTTCTCTCAATTCTATGTTGATCTGCATAGTGTTTCATCCTCTATTGGGCTTTTGCTAAATGTCCTTTAATATTGCTTGAGATTCTGCTTCTTTCCTGAACCATATTGGTAGCTGCAGGTACCACTAAGTCTAAGTAGGGTCCCAATGGTAAAGGTACTGGTTTGTACCCAAATAATGCTTCAAAGGGAGTCATGGTAAGACTGGAATGATAGGTAGATTTGTACCACCACTCAACCAAGGATAACCATTTGCTCCATTGTAGAGGAAATTCTCTTGTCATGCACCTTAAGTAGTTCTCCAGACACTAATTAAGTCTCTCACTCTAGCCATCAGATTGATGGTGATAAAAGGATGAATAATGGAGCTCAGTGCCTACCATCCTTAAAAGTTCCTTCCAGAATCCACTGGTAAAGACCCTGTCTCTATCGGTCATGATGGACTCCGGTAAACCATGTATTTTGTAAATATTGTCTAGAAAGACTTGAGCAACATTCTTTGCAGTGAATGGATGAGTAAGCATGATGAAATGACCAAATTTGGTTAGCCTATCAATCATTACAAATATAGTGTCATACCCTTCTGATCTTGGTAATTTCTCAATGAAATCCATAGAGATATGAGACCTTGCTTGTTTAGGCACTGGAATTGGCTGCAATAATCCAGGGTAAGGAACATTTTCAGACTTGTTTCTTTGACAAATATCACAATTTTGTACAAAGGATATCACTTCTTGTTTCATCTCTGGCCAGTAGAACAGAATCTTAAGTTTCTGCCAACAATTCCTTTGACCATAATGACCACCTTTTGCTGAAGCATGTAATGCCTGAATAAGCTGGTTCGTGATGTTGTTAGCACTCCCAACATAAATTTTTCCTTGGTACTTCAGTATCCCATCTGTCAAAGTATAGTCAGCGCAAGAGTTTGGGCCCAATAGTAATTGAGCCATAATGTCTTGGCAGTGTATATCAGCTTCATAACTTTTTTGTAATTCCTCAATCCACCCAGGTTTAACAGTTGTAATGGTCAGACATGAGTTTAGTGAATTTTGGGGTGCAGCTTCACACCTCCTTGATAATACATGTTTCCCCTGATTCTTAACTCCCTTTTTGTATTGTATCTCATAATCTAATCCTAATAGTTTAGTTATCCATTTATGCTGAATAGCAGTGTTCAGTTTCTGATCCAAGAGATATTTCAAGGATTGATGATCAGTTCGTATGATGAAGTGATTCCCCACTAAATACTGCCTTCATTTGGTCGTTGCCTTTACTAGAGTAAGTAATTTCTTATAAACTAATAATCCTAGGTTTTGGATTGATGATGCCTTTCTTAAAAAGGTAATAGGGTGTCCTTCTTGCATCAATACTACACCAATGCCCCATTCACTAGCATCTGTTTCAATTATGAAGGCCTTCTTGAAGTCTGGCAACTAAAGAACTAGAGCTGAGCACATTAGTTTTGTAAGATGATCAAAAGAATTTTGTGCTTTTTTTTTCCACAAACATCAACATTTTATAGATATTAGCACTTGATAATACAAGGGCTAATTACAAAAAGGGGTAACTACCCCCATATCTTTTCTAACTAGATCTATTAGCCACATTGGGAAGGAGTTTTCCCATTCCACATTTCTAATCAACTTGACAGCAAATTGTGCCAGAGAATGGCTGCAGCCATTTCCAGCCCTGGGAACAAAAGAAAATTTGCAGCAGTCGAAATCCTGTCTCAGGTCACCATTGTCCTTCAGGACTGTTTCTATGCTACTGTCCTGAACATTGCCTGTGTTAATTTGGTGCACTACACCTTTGCAATCTGTTTGGACTTCTATACTTGTCCAACCTGTATCTTTTGCCATTACAAGTGCACTTCTTATAGCCAATCCTTTCTCTTTGCTTGCTTCTCCTCTCTTGCATTCAGAAATTCCCATTGCTTTCATAATCTTTCCCAGCCAGTTCCTGGCTATTATCCCCAACCCTGTTCTTACGATTCTAGCTGATATTGCTGCATCTGTGTTTATTTTGATCACACCTTCTTTAGGTGGTTCCCATCTACATTGCGGCTACCTATCCATTTATGAGATGCCATTTGTCCTTGCACCTACCTCAGTCTCATTTTCATACTCAAACCATTCTTGCTGTGCTTTATCTACAATCAATTTTGCATTCATGTTCTCACAGTGGAATACCAACCTATTTCGTGCTTTCCAGATTTGCCATAAGATATTGGCCGTGAGATTTATTTTGTTCAATCCTTGCTCCTTGTCAGCTGATTGCATTACTGCATCCCACTATCTCCATATGTTATTTTGAAGCTCGGTTACCCCCTCCCACCTAACAGGAGCTATCTGCCATACCATTTTGGCCTTTGGATAGGAGAAAAAAATGTGCTCAGTGGTTTCAGTTTCCTCTTCACAGCAACTGCACAGGATATTTCCTTTCCCTATTCTTTTATGTATGGCTTCATTTACTGGCAAACTATTCTGTAAGCATCTCCACAAAAAGTGTTTCAGCTTCATCTTCAAATTAAGGCTCCACAATTTCTTCCAGACAGTGTGTTTTCTGATTTCCCAGCTAGTTTCTGCTCCAGGTTCCATCCTTGGACTTTGGGGTGCATCTTCCAATTTTGTTGTAGCATATCCTGACTTTACTATGTACACTCCAGATTTGTTATGTTTCCAGTAAAGTCTATCTCTTCTTCTATATAAACTGAGGGGGATGCTAGCTATATACTCAACATCCTATTCGTTGAACCATTGCTACAGACAAGCTATCTTCCATTTTCCTTCCTCTATCAATTCATTAATAGTCGTCAGTTGGTAGTCATCAGGCATTGTTCTTGAAACTCGTCTATTTTTTGCTCCAGTGATCTATCTATCCTGCCAGATCTTCACTATCCTCCCATTACCTACTCTTTTCCATAATCCCTTCTGTAGTAGTTCACCCCCCTTGTGAATACTTTTCCAACACCAAAAGGCAAAATTGGGGGGTTCCTTCTCTAGCCACTCTTCCTCTCTCATATACTTAGCTTTCAACACCCTACTTACTAACAAATTTAGGGTTGTAAGAATTCTCCAAATTTGTTTTGCAAGCAGGGCCAAATTAAAAGCTTCCAGATCTCTAAAACCCAATCCTCCTTTCTCTTTAACTCCTAATAGCTTACCCCAATTAACCCAGTGAATCTTGTTTTCCTTGTTCTTATTTCCCCACTAGAACCTGGTTATT